ACAATTTTTCTTCTCCAAAATTATCTTCTTTCACCTCCTTTCCTGCTCTCTAACAATGTTCTGTCGTCTGCTTTCGTCTCCACTTTCTGCCCCCACCCCCTTACCCCCTTTGCCCCCTCCTTTTGGCTTCTGGCTCTTTCTGCAGCCTTTCTACTGTTACTCCTTGGCTCCTCCTTACTGCTGTCTTTCTGCCACACCCCTGATCTTCTGGTAGGAAAGATCTACACCTAGCCTTCTCAGATAAGGGCGAAAAATCTCGGAAGCCTCGTGTGCAAGTTGCGCAACTTAAAGATCCCTTGGTGGTCTAAAACCGATACGAGTGGCTTCGGCCGCCACCCGGTCAAAATTCAAAATTTCCTACCAACTGAAAATGTTTAATGTGTCCTGCGAGCTCATATGACCTTATGCAATTGCGAGCACCGTAAAACACAAAAAAGAGGAGTTACAAAACAGTAACAAACACAAAGAAGAAGAAGGAGAGATAAGGACGATAGATGTTTGATAGGAAAGAAGGAGCGAAAGACATCAGACACTCGCCAACCACCCACAAGAAATAAAAATGTACAACATATTTTGATATGCAGCAGAATACTAAAAGTTTTGTTATATTAAAAATTCTGCAACGTATTATCATGATTTATTCTCCCCAGCAGTTTGTAATTTTCTATTCTTCACATACATACAAAAATCCGTTGCGCAACTTATCCTCAAATAGCTCTTAAACGAGTGAATCACCGTCACCCATACTTTGCACAACAGTTTGTATCAGTTTGTCTTATCTTAATCATATTTTTCCAAAACAGTTGAGACTGGATGAAAAAACAAATTGTTTTCTTAAATTTATACAAAATACTATTAATCTCCGTCACGCGGAAAATGAGATTGTTGACAGTGCTTCCCGCTTCTAGCACACATTTCACATACGCATAATAATGAGATTGTTCACAGTATTTCCTGCTTCTAGCACACATTTTATATGCGCATAATAATGAGATTGTTCACAGTACTTCCTGCTTCTACCACACATTTTATATGCGCATAATAATGAGATTGTTCACAGTACTTCCTGCTTCTAGCACACATTTTATATGCGCATAATAATGAGGTTGTTCACAGTACTTCCCGCTTCTAGCGCACATTTTATATGCGCATAATAATGAGATTGTTCATAGTACTTCCTGCTTCAAGCCCACATTTTATATGCGCATAATAATGTCCTACGTCACAGCTCACCAATGACATTTTTAGTGGCAAAACGTGTTACAAGAAATTAATGTTATAGTGAACTCATTTTTTGCACCAAAGGTTCTCAAAACTTGCGTTCAATAAGCATAACGTCGCGATAAGAAAACAATGACAGACTTGCTTTTAGAAGCGATATTGCCAGAACAGTAAACTTTTTAAAAGGTGTAGAAATCATCGACTTGGATTTTCTATTTGTATTAACTTTTTTATTAAGGAATTTTCTAGAATACAGTATGCAGGAGTTTGACAAAAAATATTCATCAGTTAAGACAAATTAATATAAGTCATTGTGCAAACGTTGGAGAATCTATGTGCAACAGTTAAGGAGATATTTGACAATAAGTTAGGCCACGAATTTTTAACCACACTATAAACGTCTATTCCGTTGTTTACATGTTCATGTTTTTTTCACCCCATTGCTGCAAGTTTTATTTCATTTCGTCACTCTTAAGATAATTACCTAAGTCATGTCACACTCATAAGGTAATTACCTAAGTCATGTCACACTCATGAGATAATTACCTAAGTCATGTCACACTCATAAGATAATTACCTAAGTCATGTCACACTCATAATGTAATTACCTAAGTCATGTCACACTCATAAGATAATTACCTAAGTCATGTCACACTCATAAGGTAATTACCTAAGTCATGTCACACTCATAAGATAATTACCTAAGTCATGTCACACTCATAAGATAATTACCTAAGTCATGTCACACTCATAAGATAATTACCTAAGTCACGTCACACTCATAAGATAATTACCTAAGTCATGTCACACTCATAAGATAATTACCTAAGTCATGTCACACTCATAAGATAATTACCTAAGTCATGTCACACTCATAAGATAATTACCTAAGTCATGTCACACTCATAAGATAATTACCTAAGTCATGTCACACTCATAAGATAATTACTTAAGTCATGTCACACTCATAAGATAATTACCTAAGTCATGTCACACTCATAAGATGATTACCTAAGTCATGTCACACTCATAAGATAATTACCTAAGTCATGTCACACTCATAAGATAATTACCTAAGTCATGTCACACTCATAAGATAATTACTTAAGTCATGTCCGCCTCATAAGATGATTACCTATGTCATTTTTGGGCCGGTTTCGAGTTTTTGGTTCTGAAATGAAGAACAGAGCCAGCTTTACTATATAGTTCACGTGGACAAAAGAATAATCCAAATATAAACTCAACTAAATTTACCAACATTCAAGCCTTCCACAAAGTT